GTCTATGAGATTTGTGCATTCCCTATTTTTGTTTTCACTTAACCAGTTTAGGCTTTTGCTTTGTTTGAGGACAAACAAAGGTTTAAGTCTGGGGGAGTTGATAACACCGTATTTTGACCACTTTTATGGATCGTTTTGAAATACTTTTTCTATGTTTTTAATTGCTTTTAAGTACTTTTATCACTTTTTTCTAGTATTTGTAGTTCCAAGACTCTTTTAAGGTAACTTAGGGAAAAGCTTAACAAAATGGATAGAAAACCAGATTTCAGCTCAAAGTCAAACCGTCAGAAGTTCACCCCTGATTGAAGGTCTTCTCACCGTCTGATCCAGCTCAAATTTGGAGACCTTAAAGATGGAAGTATCAGCTTTCCAGTTCACTTTACAGCTTGGCAATCCAACGGTTCAATTAAAAGATACGCGAAGAGCAAGATGTCCCGTAAACCAGCCGGCAAGCACTTCCACCCGCGGCCAAACACTCATTCCCCACGGTCAGAAGCATCCCGACCGCGGCAAACCACTCATTCCCCACGGTCAGAGCACTCCCGACCGCGGCCATCAACCTCCGAGCCCAAAAAGCCCATTTCTGAATCCCACATTTGGAGAAACCCTAAGTGACATCCAGAGAGGTCTTGAGCACTATAAATACATGTCTTAGGAACCCTAAACGAGGTGTAACCGAATATCATCTATCATTACTTTATATTTTATTGTTTTTGCTTTAGGTTTTAGGGAGAGAAAGATTTGTTCTCTTGAACCCTTGTTCTTTCTTTTTCAATTTCGGTTTCTATACTACTTCTTAATACTATTTTTTTGATTTCGTTCATTATGTCTGAGTAGTTTTATTGTTGGGATTAAGGGATTTTCGATGGGGATTTATATGTTCGAAGAGGATTCCATGAGCTTTTGAGCCGAATCTTAGAACTTTTTCTTCTGAATTCGTTTTTACTGCATGAGAGTAGCGTCATGAACTACAATCTGATCCAGATGCTTGGTGACACGAAAGTGTTCATCCGGTATCAGATCTAGTTTGGGAGAGCAAAACAAACATAGGAGTGGAAACCTACCTATGGGCGATTTGTGAATTAGGACGAGTCTTAAACATAATGCATCTCTTCTCTTCCAGGGCCAGAGTGGAAACCTACTGGTCAGGGTTGAGAGAGATAGTTGTCTATGATCACGACAGTGGCGTATTCATACGTCTGTGACTCCAGTTCGAAAAGTTTAAGCTAAGATCTTATCAATTTTACTCTCTAGCAATGTTTTGAATCGTTCGTACCCCTGAGAAAACTTCCCTGAAGCCCAACGCCTTCTTTCCCATTGATTTACACCGATTTTATTTCAAGCTTTAGTTCAATATTGTCTTTCCTTTTTAGTAGATTTTCATTTAAGCAATTAGAATATCCGTTTTCTCATTTTTAGTCATTTTCATTAAGTTTAGTTATTACGCCATTTAATTCCCGTATTTTCCTTTAAGATTTCGTTTTTACATTTTAAACACACTACCAAACCCCCACAAAACCGTTTTGGTTCTAGACTTCCTTACTTAATTCTTATTTCAAAGGCTTTTTGCAGGAAAAGATCCTCCTTCCCTGTGGATTCGATCCCTAAGTACTACAATCGATCAGCTGTGCACTTGCGGCTATTGATTTCAATTAGGGTAAAATTTGACAACCCTCGACACACACCGACACCACATCAAACGTCCGGGCGGATAGTCTTGCAAAAAGAGCTCGAGTAAGAGGACAAATATTCACCCACATTGGTTATACTGAGTCGGTTGAGGACGGCCTCCAAAACTGTCCTCTGTCCGGCCAACAATGATGTAATAATTGGGTAGTCGACAAAAAATAAAAAATAAATAAAGCCTTCTAATGTACATGCTCTATATCCAATCCGTACACATCCTTATTCCCTTGACGACAAAGGACGACAACAATTATCCTTTCACTTAAATCTCAATATTACGTCTCCTATATTTTTAGAGTCAATTTGCTAGAAATACCAAAACTTGGTCAAAATTAGCTGAATAGGAATGACAAGACGTAAATCTATCTCTACAGTGTTTGGTTGGAATGTTAATTACCATATAACCCTCCTTTCTCTGTCTCTCTCTTTCCTTTCTTTTTTATTTAAAAACGAAGAAAAATTTAGTTGTAACAAGTTACATGTTATTGTAGCATGTTAAAAATTATTGTATTATGTAAATATGTAGGTTAACTGCTAACTTTTAGCTTAGCACGATAACATAGTTGATATCAGTTAACTTTTATTTCTTTTTCTTCGGAACATTAACATTTTTTTAGATGTGATGATTTTGTTACAAGTTATATTTGATTGTAATACGTTAATTTATGTATTGTACCTCTAACGTTTGTTTTAACATGGTAACTTAATAATTTTCTGTTTAACAGACATGTTACCTCTAAATGTTTATATGTTATTATACCATTTAAACATTTAGATATAGTTCTAACTTTATATTTCACACGACAAATAAAATTTTGAATCATCAACTTTCATCTTTAATCTCCAGAGAAACCCAATATATGAAACATTGTCGCCGATATCAAAATCGATCAAAATTCCTAGAAAATTCACACCCAAATTTGCACTTCCACCTATTTTTGCATCATATCAACTTCCATATCTTTGGTGTTCATTCCTTTGACATAGATATTCTTATAAAGTGTTTTTTGTGAGTGTGTGTGTAAGAGATTGAGTGAAGGATTGTGAAAAAATTAAAGATTTGTGAGGAGAGAGAAAGATGAACGACAGAAATATGGTATGAAGAAGAAGAAGTTGTGAGAGAAAAATATCAAGGATAATAATGCCATATTGAAAAGTGTACATGAACGTAATAGTGCGTTTTTCTATTTTGCAAATTATAAACAGTCATGAGGTTATCTACTACAAATACACATATTTATTTACTCACTATTCGCTCCTAGAGTGCAAGACACTGATGCACAGTTCTGGAAAACCACTAGCAAAATATTAATGTTATTCCATCCGTTTTAAACTAAATGTCATTCTAGAAAAAAATTGTTATGAATTATCGCTTATTATTTTTATTCAATTCTTTTAATATTTTTTTTACGGTATACAAATTTATTGATTTCAAACTACAAAGTTATACAGAACTTTCAGAAAACAGGTTATTACATAATCAGATATATATATCATATATAGTTAAGAAAAAATTACAACAAAAAATGATTTTGATAATGTTTTTTATAGAAAAGTTTGACTCCCTAATGAATTATAAAATTTGTTATTTTTTATTTGTATTTAATCTAATCTGATGTAAAATATACGTTGGTAGCATCTATTGACTAAACATTTATATTAGACACTGCATAAATTAGGAGTAATAAATTAATAAATAGGTTTATCTCTTTTACTATTAAGTAAATTAATAAAATATTGAATATTGTTGAATTCCAATAGTATAATACAAGTATAATATAAAGTTTTTTTTATTGTGAAAAAATTTAAACGATATTTAAACTGAAACATAGTAACATAGAAATAGGTGTGATTGTCGCCCTTAACTACGCCAAAAATGTCGTTTCCCAAAATATTTGACACACCTCAAAGCTATTTGATCCAGTTATAGTTATAAGCATCAAATCACATTCATTAAAAACACTAATGAGTTGACAGCTTAATACTGTGAGTTAAACATAACACAAATCCGACCACTTGACCACCCGAAAACCCGGTCTACCAACTCGATTCATGTAATCCCTAGAAAAAAACCTTTCATTTTACAATGAAAGAGGGATGACTAATATGGGATGTAAACCTTACATTTGGACAGGAAAAACACGAGAGTCGGGTGCGTGGTTTCACGCGCGGCGATTCTTTTCACCCTTCTCCATTCTTGGTCGCCTCTTAGATCGTGTTTTTCTCGGCGATTCCCTCCGGCGATTCCGGCGCTGTGAGGGAACCCGCGTTTTCTTTTGGCCCCGACCGCTCTTCATTCTTAGGAAGGCGGGTTTCTCCGTGGCTTTAGGAAGAGATCTGAGTGGCGAAGGTGAATCTGGTTTCTGCTTGCGGCGGCTAGGTTCTTCCAGATCTGGATTTTAGAGGACGTGGTGCGGAGATGGATCCCTGCTCGTTTGTTTAAGCAGTGGTGGCTGGTGTATGACGCATCGGTGTGGCGAAGCCTTGGCCTTGGGTCAGTGTTGGGCGAGTGGGCTTGCAAGAGGTAATGGTCGGATGTGGCTGTCAGTGGTAGCATAGCTGCCTGGGGACAGCGAAGCGAAGCGGCAGATCTTTCCCGGCTTGTCTCCTTCCAAATAGCTCTTCCCACCTTACCCCTCTTCTTATATATGGCTGTGGTGAGCTGCGCGGCATCTTTCGTCTTCGTGAGAGTTTCTTAGAGATGGTGGTAATTTCGACTTCCCTGATTCTCTTGCGGTGGTCCTGAGCCGTTCTGAGCTAGATCGGAGCTAACATGCTAGCATCGGAGGTTCTCTGTTTCGTTTGCTCTGCGCTAGAGGTCCTGATCTGGTGGAGTGGAGATGCGACTGCGGTGGTTCCCTCTTTCGGCGGATGCGTCGTTTGTAGGGTTTTTTTTCGTTCGGTTTAGTCTCTGATTTGTTGTTTTAGTTTGGTTCGTTCTCTTCAATTTCTATTGTATTTGGTTAGTCTGATTTTCTAGACCCATTCGGATTTGGTTCGGTTTATAATCTGGTTTATTAAAAAAAAAAAAAAAAACCTTACATTTGATCACAGCTCACACTTCTAACATTTGGGTTGAACCTTCATTTATCAACAACCTCCATGCCGAAGCATTCGACTATTCAACATTGTATATTGGGTTTGTTCTGCACCGTTTGTTTGTTCTGCTTTTTTCCAAAAACTAGGCCCATGGGCTCAATTAGTTGTTTCGTATGCAAAATAATTACCAATTGGGATTTTAACGTAATATCACCAGAAACATAAGGACTTAAATTGCTAATTTCCTACTATATTTAGATAAGAGTGCTCTCATGCATAAAATTCAACAAATCCACCCAACTCACATTCACGCAGTTCAAAATTTCAGATTTTAATCCTTCCTTCTTCTCCACTCCTTATCCTGCGCCTAACCATGTGCACGTTAGAGAAGCGCGGCGATCTCTTCCTCCTGACCCTAACCGGAGACGGCGAGCACAGATTCCACCCAAACACCATCGCCTCCATAATTTCACTTCTCGAACAAGCCAAATCTCAATCCAAGCGTGGATCCGTCCTCATCACCACCGCTAACGGAAAATTCTTCTCCAACGGATTCGATCTCGCCTGGGCCCAATCCTCCGGATCCAAAACCGCCGCCGCGGAACGGCTTCACCACATGGTCGAATCGTTCAAACCGGTGGTCGCAGCGCTCCTCGATCTCCCGATGCCGACGATCGCCGCCTTGAACGGCCACGCCGCCGCCGCGGGACTGATGCTTGCGCTGAGCCACGACTATGTCTTCATGAGGAATGACCGTGGGGTTTTGTACATGAGCGAGGTGGACATCGGGCTTTCGATGCCGGACTACTTCGCGGCGATTGTTAGGTCTAAGATCGGGACGAGCGCGGCGAGGAGAGAGGTGTTTCTGAGCGGGAAGAAGATCAGAGGAGAAGAAGCGGTGGCTCTTGGGATCGTCGACTCGGCGGCGCATGATAGTGAGGAAGGGGTTTTGGAGGCTACTGTGCGCCTTGGGGAGAAATTGGCGGCGAAGAAATGGAGCGGTGAGGTTTATGCGTCGATCAGGAAGAGTTTGTATCCTGAGCTTTGTGGGATGTTGAATTTGGAGGCTAAAATCTTTGCAACTCCTAAGCTGTGAAAACTCTTCGATTAGCAAATTTGGTTTTAGAAGAAAACACTGGTTTTTTTGGGAGAAGACAATGATCAACTTTACGATTATGATCGATCAAAGAAACAATAAACTAAAGTTCACTTTTTGTGGTCTGTTTAAGCAACACATGTCCAAGGCTATCTCCATTTTCCAAATAATGTATTATTGTTGTTGTTATTGTAACAATTGTTATGATTAGTAACTTCAAAATTGTGAAATGAGGTTTTGTCAAATGATTCTGACTTTTGTTAAGCAAGAAAAATCAAATGCTGGATGCTGAATTTTTTTTTTTAAGAGATTTTAAGGAACAAGTTCGTTTACATAAAAGAATTAAAATTAAAGATAAAAATGTTTACTAAATAAATGTATTGAACTCACAAACTAATTGAATTAAGATAAAAGCGAGTCATACGTTTTTACATAATTGTTATTCATTTTCTTTTTTTCTTATTTTTAGTTTTTCTTTTTTATTAATCGTCTTCCATCTTTATCTCTCCTTCTTTTTTACATCTTCTTTTTAGTTTTTTTATTATTTCTTTTTCCTTCTCCTGTTTATTCTATATGTTTTTTTTTACTTTTTATTTTTTAAATTTTTTTTGCCACATCTTTTTTTTCTTTGCTGTTTTCACATCTTTTCCTCATCATCTTCTTCTTCAGCGCCTTCGTCTTCTTCGTTCTTTCCGATTTCATATTATTCTTATTTTCCTCCGTCTTTTATATCAATTAAATACATGTACTTCAAAACTTTAACTCTCTCTCCCCTCCATGCATCCCTCCCTATCATTATCTCTCTCTCATTCTCTCTCTTTCAATATTTCTCTCTTATTCTTTCTCTTCCCCCTCGTCTTAAATTGTATATATCATACGATTTAGATAATTATATTTAAACACTACAAGAAAACACTCTATTTACAACGACTATATTAGTTGTAAAATCGTTGTAAACAGGGTTTACCATCGATTTTACGACGAAATTGTAATCGTCGTTAATAGATCGTCGCTAATATGAAATCGTCGTAAAATCGTCGTAAATTAGCGACAAATAAAAATCGTCGCTAATTTACAACGATTTTACGATGATTATTTATTTTTATTAAAATAATAAAACTCTTGTAAAATCGTCGCAATTGATAATTATTTATTATTTTATATTTAAATAATAATTAGCAGTGGTGGCCGTGTCTCCGGTAGTCCGGTGGTCACCGGTGGTCGCCGGTGGTGGCAGGTAGTCGCCGGTGGTGGCAGGTAGTCGCCGGTGGTGGCAGGTAGTCGCCGGTGGTGGTGGCCGATGGTCGCCGGTGGTGGCCGGTGGTGGTCGTCGGTGATCGCTGGTGTTGGCCGGTGGTATCCGGTGGTCACCGGTGGTGATCCATGGTGGGCGGTGGTATGGCCGGTGGTTACTCTGATGTTAATGGTACTGATTATTTAATAATTATGAGTAGGTATATATATACTATAACAAATATTCCAAAACTACCGATGTGGGACTTTGTATCTTTTATGAAATCGTTGTAAAATCGTTGCAATTTACAACGATTTTACGACGATTTTTTTTTTATAAAAAAAAATAAATTAGAGAGAAAAAATCAAATTGTCGTAAAATCGTTGCAAATTTACGACGATTTTACGAAGATTTTGTTTTTTTTTTATAAAATAAAAATAGAAAAAAAAAATAAAATAAAATAGAAAAAATCAAATCGTTGTAAAATCGTCATAAATTGCGACGATTTTATGACAATTTGATTTTTCTTTAATTATTATTTTCTAAAAACAAAACATCATCGTAAAAACGTCGTAAATGGCGACGATTTTACAACGATTTTCTTTGCAGCGAAGTAATGACGATTGTGTGCTAAATCGTCATTAATTCGTCATTAATTTGCGACGACAATAATTCGTCGTAAAAAATCATTGCTAACTCTGCCTTTTCTTGTAGTGAAAAGAATAAGTGTTTCAAAAATAAAAAAATAAGAACACAGAAAATACGAACTAACATAGATTTAATATTATGTGTTTATAAGGTTTAATTCTCTATACCATTTTTTTTCTCTCTCTCCCTCCCTCTCTATTTCTCTCCCTCACACACTCTCTCTCTCCATCTACATGTCCCTGAAAGCTTTAACTGAATTTATCCCTATCTTCATCTTCCCCTTCTAATTCTTCAATATTTTTGTATTATCATAATTTTTCTTTTTTCGATTTTCTTCTTCATCTTTTTTTTTTCTTTATCATCAACGTCAATTTTCTTATTTCTTATCTTATCTTTTCTCTTCTTCATCAACTACAACTTCTATTTCATCTCTGTCTTCTGATTTATCTTTTTCTTCATCTTTTGTTTCGTTCTACTCTTTTTCCTTATCTTTGGTTTAGTTCTTCTTTGTATTTTTTTTTATTCTTTTTTTTTTCTTCTTTAGTCTCCAATTTTAAAGCTTTTATCTTTTTTTCTGCCTTAAATTCTTCATCTTATTTTCCATAATTTCCTTTTTCTTCTTCATCTTTGACTTGTACTTTTTTTTTCTTCATCTTCTTTTTCCTCATATTTTCCTTTTTCTTCTTTATCGTCTTTGACTTGTACTGTTTTTTCTCTCCTCTTATATATCTTTCGATTTTCTTATTCCTCAACTTTTTCTTTCATCTTCTTCATTGTATTTGACTTCTTCTTCATCACCTTTGTATTTTCTTAGTTCTTCTTATTTTTTTTTTTCATTTTTATTAGCCTTCTTTATTCTCTACTTCTTATTCCTCTTTGGTCTTCATCAAACTCTTTTTCTTCTTGTTTTTCTTCATCTTTTTCTCATTTTCACCTACTTTATTTCCTCTTCTTTTACTTTGTTTTTTCCATCTTTTTTTTTTTTCCGATTTCCTTCTTTAAATCCAACATCTTTTTTTTTATGCTTATTCTTCTTCATTATTTTTTGTTCTCATTTTGTTCTTATTCTTCTCCATGGTTTTATTCAAATTCGTCTTTTTTAGATCTTATATCATCAACTATGTCTTATTCTTTATACTTGTACTTCTAAGTTATAAGAATTATAGGTGAATAAAATTAGGAGCAATATATATGATTTATTACGAAAACTATTCGTACAACTTTTATAACAATTATGAATGGTAAAAATAATAACAATATATACATTATTAATTAGCAAAAACTAATTTAAAATTTGTTTAATCATTTATTTTTATTGATGATTATTAAATTTAGAAAGTACATTAGGGAAAATAATTAAAATCTAAACACAACAAAAAATCTAAAAAATTGTTAAAATAAGATAGTTAAGGAAAAAAAATCAAAGACATTGCAAAGAATTGACAAAATTTATATTAACAAACATTTAATGGATCTTCAAACACGAAAGTGATTCATCATAGAACCTGCATGTAACAAAGCAATATACATCATTTGAAGAGAGGAGCGAAAACCCATTAACTTGCCTCATAGAAAGTTTCGACATACCAAAGCATAACATGACTTTGAAAGTAGGGTGGACAACACCATTAATTGTTCTTATATATATAAAAACATAGATCGCAAACAACATGAAATAAAACCCTCAAGAAGTAGGCTTCGCCAGCATTAAGGTTACAGTTGGCTATAATACTCGGTCTGGAGTTGCCGCAAGACGGGGATGCCATTGACATTTTATGATCCCTAATCCAATGGGTCAGAAATTTAGAATACATATATGATATGGCTTCAGGATAGTCCTAATTAAACTTCAGCCAACCTGTAAATTTCTCGTTGTAAAAATTAGCAGAAAAATGTTATTCTTCTGTAAAAGCGATTTGAGATGGAGTTAGATAATATGGCAAAATCTAAGGATTACGATGGGATAATTACTAATCTCTACAGAAAATTCATACATTTTTTGAAGGAAAGAACTTTTAGGCAATACATTTACATAAGAACAACGTCTAAAAGCAGAAGAAAAAAAAACAGTTAAAGCACTACACAAAAATATTTACCTGACGAATCTATTGTAAGGCCCGAGACATGAAATATTCATTCAGCAAATTATGAACTATAAACAAATAATTAGATTAGCATTACGGAAATACATAAATAATAGTATATATTGATTTTTTTAAAAAGACGTGGATAAATTTTTTAAAAAGATGTTAGACCTTAGAAGACGGACGTTGTATGTAAGAAAACATAAAGATCAAGAGAAGTATATATATGATGGATACGTTAGGCTTTATGTTAGTAACGACTTTGATATCGGTGGTCCATAACCAAAATCAGTGGTTAGGGCTAACTTCGAGATCAGTGGCCCATAAACAAAATCACTGGCACATAATGGAGAAAAAAGCCATGCCACGAGTATTTACATGTATGATTAATGATCGACTTATCAGAACTAATTAAAATGCCACATACTTTTTTTTAATAATGACACATAGGATAAAGACGACACATCAGATTTTTAGCAATGCCACATATATTTACACGTAAGATTAATAATCAACCTATCAAAATTAATTAAAAAGCCACATAATTTTTATTTATATTGACACATAGAATAATCGATGTGGAGACGACACATCAGATTTTTGGTCATGTCACGGATATTTACACGTAGGATTAATAGTCAACCTATCATAATTAATCAAAACGCCACATTTTTTTTAATAATGACACATAAGCAAATTGTTCTGGAGAAGACACCTAAGATTTTTGACTTCGCAAATAATAGTATAGATGAACTATAGCACAGTTTCAATATACATTTTTCATAAATAATATTTAAATATATTTCAATATGTAAAAAGTTATATTCCGTAGTAATCCACCATTCCGTAAAATAACCAACCGGAAAGCTTTTTTAAGAATTTCATTTCATACTTCATTTTGCAAATATTATATCACATTTTTCATTATAACTTCATTTTCCGCAATTGCAAAAACTTACTGATCGGAAATAATGTTTATATAGTATTAGGTTGACAAAAATGTGTCTCGGTAGTGAAAAGAAAGTAATCCTTCTAGGATATTAGCCCTATAATTCCTTAGGCATATTTCTATGTTTTTGTTAATAGCACAACAATGAGAAATTTTTTAATCAAAGGAGTTTCTGATGTATACTTGATCATGTGCACTTCTATATCCCTAAATGAGAGGTTACATTTAACAAAGAATTGCTAAATCACTTCTAAGACGAAGATGCAACCTATTCGAACCAGAGAAGATCATGGTCAAGAGAATCCATTTCTTGGCCTAAATAAGACAACCACCATCAAACCAGTCAGATACAACTTTTTTTTTTTGATAAACTGTGAATCATATATATCAAAAAGTGGGCTGAGTTCTTACATCAGATAATTAGATCTAAAGCTAATCAGGAAGTGGCACTATCTAATCTAAATCAAAATAGTTAGCTATAAGTGAACCACCGAGAAAGCAAAGTGGAGGGAATCCTCCGACACTTCGCAAGCAGATTATCTCTTATGGAGCGGTCGATGGTCTTGAAGACGCCTTCAGGGGTAGAAGAGATGCCTGAGTGAATCCGAGCATTCCTTTCTCGCCATAGGAGGTAAGTTGTCGCCTGGGTGGCTAACTTCCTAATAACAGTCACCTCCTCATTCGCCGGAGTCAACAACCAAGTGCACATGGACCCCCAGTCATGGAAAGGTGGGTTTGTGTACCCGAGTTTGACAAATATCTTGTCCCACACCAATTTGGAGAAGTCGCTGTGGAGGAGTAGATGGTCTCTTGTCTCAGTGAAGAGACTGCAAAGAGTACATGATGATGAAGCGACAATACCCCATCGCGCAAGTCTGGCCATTACAGGCATACGATCGAGTTGAGCAATCCAGAAAAGAAATGCATGTTTAGGAATGTGGCCTTTGAACCAAACAGCGTTATACCAGTTTACCGGAGGGGCCAATGACCGCAAAGTATCCCAAGTTTGGGATGTCGAGAAAGAGTACCTGGTAGATGAACCGCAATTCCAGACGTAAACGTCTTCGCCATCAGTACCTTTCGGGACGGGGGTATTCAGAAGCATGCTCCGAATACTCTGAAGATGCCGAGATCGGGTACGAGGGCCTGGAAGCTTCCATCTGCCGCCCCTAGTCGCTGCTGAAACAAAGCTTTCTTTAACCGTGTTTGTCTAGATTCACTCATATATACTCCTAAGTCTATTTTAGAGCTAGAGCCAATCAATGAGATTTACTATTGCATATAAATTAAATAAGGGAAATTATATTTAATAATCATCAAAAAAACTATAATTCACAAATTAACCAAAAAAGATCTAAATATAATATTCTCTGCATATTATATATTAATACATTTTTACCCTTTTCTTTTTTTCCTCTTTTTTTCTCTCTCCTTCCTCTTTTCTTTTTCCTTATTCTTCCTTCTTTCTTTGTTCTTTCACACAGTGCTCCACATTTTTTCTACACCCACACCACTGTTATTATCATCTTTCTCTCTCTTCTCTCCTTCCCCCTCTCTCATTCCTTCCTCCTCTCTCTTTCTTTCGTTTTCTCACACAGTACTTCATATTTTTCTCTGCACCCACACCACCCATTATCAACAACTTCACCGAATAATCACAAAATAAATTTTAATTTCCACCAGATTATATGTTTCTCCCCCTTGATTCTCCTTCTCTCCTCCCACAATATTCTCTCCTTATCTCCTCAGATAATCCCTAACTCATTTAATATTGGTATAATCTATTAAATTTTCCTTTCTTATTATACTCATCTTCTCTTCCCGTCTATTATACTTATCAAATTCATACTATTTTATATTTTTTTGTATTTTGATCAATGCAAATATTTATAATATTCAATTTAAATCATAATATGTAATGTATTCAAAAAATTCGGCCTATATATAAAATACATAGATGATCTATATTAACTTAGGCATGTTATAACTGCAACACAATTTTCTCTTTTTTGGTCTAGTGAAGATGATGATATAGAGAAAAAGATTAATATAAAATACAGATAAGTAGATTAACTGATTTTGTCAATAGTTTCTCGATAAAATATTTTGACTCCCTAATATTTTGTATAAATAGACCTATTATATTATTGATTAAATATAGATTTTCTATGTTATTAGTGTCATTATTGACATATGAAAAAAAAATGTATTTGTAGTAGATAACCTCATGACTGTTCATAATTTGCAAAATAGGAAAACATACTATTACGTTCCTGTACACTTTTCAATATACCATTATTACCCTTGATATTTTTCTCTCACAACTTTTCCTTTTTCATACCTTATTTCTGTCGTTCATCTTTTTCTCTCCTCACAAATCTTTAATTTTTTCACAATCCTTCACTCAATCTCTTACACACACACTCACCAAAAACTGAAAATCAACATTGTCTATGTCAAATGAATGAACATCAAAGATATGGATGTGGATATGATGCAAAAATAGGTGGAAGTGCAAATTTGGGTGTGAATTTTCTAGGAATTTAGATCGATTTTGATATCGGCAACAATTGTTCATATATTGGATTTTTCTGGAGATTCAAGATGAAAGTTGATGATTCAAGATTTTATTTGTCATGTGAAATATAAAGTTAGAGCTATATCTAAATGTTTAAATGGTATAATAACATATAAACATTTAGAGGTAATATGTAAGTTAAATAGAAAATGATTAAGTTACCATGTTAAAACAAACGTTAGAGGTACAATACATAAATTAACATATTACAATCAAAGTTAACTTATAACAAAATCATCACATCTAGAAAAATGTTGATGTTCCAACGAAAAATAACATGAAAGTTAACTGATATCAACTATGTTATCGTGCTAAGCTAAAAGTTAGCAGTTAACCTATATATTTATATAATACAATAATTTTTAACATGCTACAATAACATGTAACTTGTTACAACTAAATTTTTCTTTGTTGTTAAATAAAAAAGAGAGGAAAGAGAGAAACGGAGAAAGAAGGGTTATATGGTAATTAACATTCCGACCAAACACTGTAGAGATAGATTTACGTCTTGTCATTCCTATTCAGCTAATTTTGATATTTCTAGCAAATTGACTCAAAAAAATATGGGTTTGTTTTTCGAAATTAAAGTCATGCTAGACTTTAATAATAGTGTATATAAATTCAAAATAAACTTGTTATTGATAAAAATAGACGTGTTATGTTATTGGTGTAATACTATTTATGTATGAAAAAAAAATGTTAGTTTTTAATAATTTAAATCATGTTAGATGTGAAAATAAATCAGTATTTTTTATATAATTATACAAGATTAAATTAACTAATAGGATGTTAATAACAGAAAAAATAAAATCTATGGAAGAACAATTTGTACAGTATATATGCCTTATGGTATTACATTGTTGATACTGATTTGCAACTCTTACACGTGACTATATATATGCCTTATGGTATTGTATGTTTTTTGTGAAAGTTTTTTTTTTTTGGTGAAAGTTTATAGTTCTTATAGTATTATTTCGTGCATTTTTTTTTCATATATATTTGTTTAAACTTGCTTTATGACATACAATAGAGAAATGGTGTACTGAAAAAAAAAAACCATGTATACACGTCTAGTCATGACGATTGTGCTTTTGTATTATTTTCATGTATGCTCGTGGTTTACAAGAAGGTAATTTTTTTTTTTTTAATAAAATGAGCAACAATTATTTTGTACGTCAATTATGAAATGTTATCAATATATTATTACCACGGATTATATATATTTTAAAATATAAGTCATATAAAATATACGTAAAAAAAAGTCATATAATATAACTTGTACTATTTATATCATACAAATATACAACCCAAAATTCAACCATATTGCTCTATCTGTTTATTCGGTTTTACTATTTTAATCATTTAAAACATGTAATGACTCTCGTTTTATTGGTTGCCGGTATATACACTTAATGACTCGGACGCATGTCATTGGACAATCGACGTGTAAAATCATCCACGTGGCATTTTCTTTACAATGAAGCAGCGAATACATAATTCTACAATTGTATACTCGCGCGAGTAGGTCAACGAACAAGTCTCTTAAATACTCTCTCTTCTTTTTGACCCCTCAAATTTCTAAATATTTCAAATTTCGCCTCTTCGTCTTTCTTCCTCCTCCTCCTTTTAATGTCTCTCGATTTACGGGCCCAAATCTAACTCTCTCTTTCTCTGTCTGTCTCTGCGCTTGAATCGGGAGAAGAAAAAAAGTTAAGAGAGAGCTTCAATGGAGATAGTTTCCTTCCTTGGTAGAGCTCTGTTCGTGTCCGTGTTTCTTCTCTCCGCGTGGCAGGAGTAAGCTAATTTTCTTCTACTCGTTCTAGATCTGCTCTTCTTTGACTATTTTGGAATCTTCAGTTTTTAGTAGGATCTGCTTTTGTTTTTGTTTTTGTCTCAGAAAATCGAAATCTGTGCCTGTCGTAGAGTAGAACAAAGCTATGGACTATGGTTATTTAGTTCGTGATGAATCATGGATTTAGAGTAAGAATGTTGGATCTTGCTTTGCTTTGATGGAGTTGGATTTGATAGATAGGATAGCTTATAAGATAATTTTTTGTTGGATTTTGTTTAAGATTTTACTTAATTTGCTCCTACATTGCTAAATTGTCTCCTTTATTTCATCTCTTTCTCCAATCTTGCACTTTGGTTCTCTAAATTTATTTCATTTCCTGCTCATTAAATGAGCTAAAATTGCTTGTTGAATTGATCTCATTGGTGGTCGTGAGTGATAGTTTAAGACATTTCCGAATTCTAACGATTTTTCTTCCAATGAATCTTTTCTTAAATTCGAGTGAAAGCTTATGAGGTACTTTCTTATGTCTGTCACTTCATTGACTCAACTGATGAAATGATGTATTTGATTGTTCTTTATTCATGGTCTCAATTCGGTACTGTCTTATAACGTTTGGTTGTTCTTTATTCATGGTCTCAATTAGCTACTGTCTTATTAGCGTTTGGTTGTTCTTTATTCATGGTCTCAATTAGGTACTGTCTTAGTAGCGTCTGGTTGTTCTATGTTCATGGTCCCAATTCATTTGCTTTTGTGTTGTTCCCTCTTTTCGTTGTTGTCTTGACCTTTTCATACTTCACTTGACTCTCTTTGCTTGGTTATATGAGTTACTACGGAGACGGTTTTCAATTTCGCTCTCTTACTAATTGTCTTGCTTCATCGAGCAGGTTCAATGATTTTGGTGATGATGGGGGTCGATCAGCTAAATCCTTAAGACCAAAATTCAATGCCTTTGTTAGCCACGTCACAACTCATACCGGCCAGCAACTGCCACCAGTCGATGTACGTGCTTCCTCGTATCTACTCTCTCGTTCCAAAACACTAACGAAAATTCGTTTCTGACTTTTCTTGTTTTATTCAATCTTTCTTTGTTTTGCAGATGAAGCTTCTCGTTGCTGCTGCTATAGCCTTGAAGGGTATTGGGGGACTATTGTTCGTCTTTGGCAGCTCATTGGGAGCTTATCTCTTGGTATGTAACAACTGTTCCTTTCAAATATATATCGTTGTTTTACCTCTAAATGAAGAAAAAAACCTGCTAATATCTAAGAAATATGGTCGCAGCTTCTGCATCAAGCCGTTGCTACTCCGATTCTGTATGATTTCTACAACTATGATGTTGACAAAAAGGAATTTAGCCAACTGTTTTCAAAGTTTACCCAGGTTAGCAAATCTCATATTGGTTTAAACTTGAGTTAGATATTCAATCATAATTCAGACCTAAGATATTTTATTCTGTGTTTTTTTACTCTTCAGAGTTTGGCACTCCTTGGGGCACTGCTCTTCTTCATTGGAATGAAGAACTCGAGGAGACACGGTAGGCAACTCCGGAAGAAGGCTCCAAAAGCTAAAGCAAACTGAAAAAAAAAGAAGATGTTTTTTCATCGGTTTATTTCAGCTCTTGTAGCAAAATCGGGTCTGTATTTTGTTCATTTTGAAAATCCAGGATGGGTTTAATGAGTAATGTGATGAGGCTATGGAAAAGGCAAAATCTTTGCAAATCATTTTGCTTATTTTTCATGGAGCTTAGTGACGCTTTTTGTAGACACTTTTTGGTTCTCTAGAGAGTTACCCATTTCAATTTCATGGAGTCTTCTAGTTTTGCTGTTTCTTGCTCTGACTTAGTCCTCATGAATCCCATTTTTCACTTTCTTAAGACATGCTAATTAGTAATTAGCGATGCTGAAAAGGTTAGTGCACACTAGTGAAAAACTTACACACTGAATGGTAAAAATATTAAGTTGCATAAGTAGAAAGTAACAACAAGAAGCTCTCGTAGCTCAGTTGGTTAGAGCACCCGTTTAGTAAGCGGGAGGTCTTGAGTTCGACTCTCAACGAGAGCACTTTATATCTTTTTTTGTTCTTACCTCAACTTTTGTCTTTATGCCCCCCTACTTTTCAGAATACAACAGTCAAATTCTCTATTTGGCATTTGCATAAAATCTACAAGAAACCAACAGTCAAATATATTTTTATTGAAAATACAACCCAATACCAAGAGTAAAGCTTTTACACTTGCCAATCGGAAGAATCCTAAAAACCAAGTGGATCACATATCTCTCTACATTCCCTAATGGGTACCAACAACAACAACCAAAAAGAAGAGAAAGACAATCGAGAGTTTTAAGCAGCAGGAGGCCTGAGTTCTTGATCACGAGATGTATCACGAACCGATTGAGGCAAGTAATGCCACATTGGCATGTAACCGTAGCTCGGATAAACCGCCATTTTGTTCTGACTATATGCACCTGGAATCTGAGGCATGAACCCTGAAGATGGAACCATCATAGACTTTAACTGCTGTTCTGTCTTCTCCTTCTCTGCCTTCAGCACCAGCTTCTCCTCCCTAAGCTCGTTTTTCTCAGCCTAATAAAGAAACGTGAAACCAAAATTTATTTAAGAATCCACCCACAGAACAAGATTTTCTTGGTTTAGGAGAAAGTGAACCAACCTTGAGACTCTTAATCTCGTCTAAAAGCTTCTGGTTAGTTTCTTCAAGCTCATGAGCTTCATCTCTGAGTTGGTTCAAGACACGGATTGCATCATCGAGTATCGCCGGTTTATCTGTCTTTGGACTCCTCCCTGGCTCCAAAACCGAGCTCAAATCCATGAACCTGAAAGAACAAAACAATCTTCCATTTGAGACAACTCAATCTACAAAACAAAATATCAAAATGAACACATAGACTAAGCTCTTAAACATACCTTTCATTTAGCTTCTCCCTCCTCAATCTTTCACGACAGGCTTTACTTCCTCCTGGCCTGATACACGATCCGGTCCTTCCCCTGTAAACAGAATTCGATCAAACACAAATCTACAAGAACACACAACACACAGTGCAAGTGAAGTTGATGTTTGTAAAAACATAACTAAGCTAAGAGTTTTGGATTCTAAAAGCTTACCGCTTTCTAGAGCAATCGTCGTCTAAATGTTCTTGTTCTTGCTTAATAGGACCACCAGATGATCCTGAATTGAAATCTACATCTTCTTCCTGCACAATTTCACAATCATTTTGCCCTCCAACTACACGAACTTGCTTTGGCTCTTGCTGCAAAACTCCACTAAACGAAGCCAAATCCAGTGGAGCTCCTCCAATGCTGAAAACTTCTTCTGGTTCGTTTACACCGTATGACCCGAAATCTAGGAAGGTATCTTCTTGATCAATCTGCAAATTTACACCAAATTGTGTGTAATCATCGAGTTCTGCTCCATTGCTGCTAAGTTAGAAACAGAGATCCATCAATGGAAGTATATACATATACAATCAATAAATTAGCAGATTAACGCAACAAAAGATCCATAGAGTTGCTTCTCTTATTCAATTTTACAGCTTAAATCGATTCATCAAGAAATTTACATTAGGGTTCGTTAAATTACCATCGAAAACACAATTTTTTTCCTTAAAATGCGGAAAAAAGCAAAACTTTCACAGAAATTGAATTCATCTGAATAGAAATTAACGCCTGGGTATTAACAGATACGATCAATTGGAAAAAAAGAAGAAGAAAAGAAATCAAATTTGATTCATAAAATTCGAACACAACTGCATCGAGAGAAATAGAGAACAGAGGAAGAAGGGAGATTAGGGAAAAAGGAAGAACCTTTGATCGAAGCAAAACAAATCAGAGACGAAATCATCGTCCAGAGAAGGATACATCTGAGTCTCAAAAACAGATTTCAGAGATTTGGTAAAGCTTCAAGAGAGACGCCAATATCGGAAAAATTAAAAAGAGACTAAAATGGAACTGAATATCATTTTAAAAAAACATCGAATGACGCCAAGGGGATAAGATTAATGGTGGGAACAATATTCGGCGATTTGATATTAGTGGAAAATTTAAAGACAGGATTTGTTTTTGTAGATTTTTTCACTTGAAATTCTTATTCGGGAGAGACAAATCGCGTTAAAAAGTTTTGAAAGTTGAAAGACAGAAAAACAAATCAGAATCATAGTTTTATTTTATAGCCTTATTGCCCTGCAATATCAACCGCATTTGCATTATTGTTTTTCGGCTATTTTCACCTATCAAAGGATTAATTTGCTTTTGTTGTTTTTTCTTAAAAAACAAAAAAAATATTTACAAAATAGCTCAACAGCAAGCAAACAGAGCATCTAGCAAGTTAAAAACAGAGTAATAAGGTGGTCGAAACAACTTAACCACAGGAAAATTACACAAAAGAATTTTTAAATATCACTTTTCAAAACTATACCGTTTGTTTCGTCAAATTTCAAAGGTATCATATAATTTTTTTATTTTATAAGATAATTTATAAAAATACAAATTGAAAAACGTTTATAAATTAGGTTATATGTTACAAAATTCAACAAAATGAATGGATTACAAAGTCACAAGATGCAAATTTGAAACGTTATGGATAAATTTTATGGAGTATATCGTCACTATACATACACAATGTATTGTCGTGTTGTTTGTGTTCCTCGTGGTCGAGAAAAACCCCAAAACAAAGTGTTACAAAAGTCAAAAATGGAAGAGATCATAAAGTCACAAAATGCAGGCGTGCATATGTGAAACGTTGTAGGTAAAAATTAATTTGAATAGACCTTTATTATGCATGCACAATAACTTATCTTTTTTAGTCTATATAAAAGAATGAATTCTTTCCATTGTAAAACATTTTGAGACATTCACAAAAACATAAATACAAATTTCAGTGTCCAATTTTCTCTCAGATACAATTTTTTATTTGTATATATTGTATTGCTCCGACCGCTATTGTCCGCGGACCTCTGTACCCTCTTTTCAGCATGTGGTTCCATTTTCAATCAACCATACGTCCATTTTTACTCGTTCAATCATAAATGATTCACTAAAATCGCTGGATACATAACAAATCCAACTTTCGGAGTCTAAAGTCACTTAATCCCTTTCCTTCTGTTTTGACTCTTTCAAACTCGACGTTCGAAACTAATGGTATTTTAGCTCTCTTGTTTGTTAGCTTGAACATATGAGAACTTTCAGAAAACACTTCACCATCGTATTTTTCAAATACACTCGTGTTGTTTTGTGTTCTTAGATAGACAAAAAAATCTTAAACAGTCTTAAAAAAAATCACAAATGAAGGAGATCACAAAATCACAAAATGCAGACGTGCATATGTGAAACATTGTAGGTAACAATTAATTTGTATAAACCCACCGTCATGCACAATAACTTGATTTTTTACGTCTATACAAATTAATATATTGGTTCGACTGTAAAACAACTTATTTTGAGATATTCATAACAATTCTCTCTCGCGTCTCACTTGTCTCACGGGTATAAAAGCAATCTATTATATAATTAGAGAGTTTTCTCTCCATTTAGAGTGTCCACATCAGCATCAAGAATGAAATTAAATTTAATAACTCAATTAATTCACACACATTAATAACTATTATTTCTCATTAAAAAAACACTAATAGTACTACTAAAATTAATGATTTAATTATGTATATACTATTTATAATTCTTATTTTTTTATCAAAAAAATAATAGTAAGAACTGAAAAAAAAAATTTGAAAAAAAACGATGATAAAAAAAAGTCCAAAGACGATGAAAAAACAAAAAAAAGGAAAAAGAAGAAAAATCAAAATATAATTAAGATGACACAGATTAATATGAAGTAAAAAAATACATACACCAAACAAGTAAAAATAAAAGACACAAAATAAGAAAAAATCAAAAAAAAGAAAGTAAAAGTCGAAGATGATGAAGAAGACGATGAAAAAAAGAAAGATAAAAGATAGAAAAAAGAAGAACACAAAACTGATGAAAATCAATTTTGAAAAATACATAGATAAAAACGTTGAAGATGAGAAAAGTGACTAGAATATGAAGATAGAAAAAATTAAAATTATTGATTTAATTAATTCACACACTTTAAAATAGTATTATTTTAAAAAAATAAAAGAAAAACATTAGTACTAAAATTAATGACTTAATTAATTTATACATTTTTATAATTATTATTTTATCAAGAAAAAAGAAGTAAAAAATAAAAAATAATAATAAGTAGAAATAGTTAAAGA